CATAGAATATAAGGTAATTTGTTGGTGCAGTTTGGCGACGAGGGAGGGGGGGGGAAAAGGGCAATTTGCACTTTTGCTACTTCTCATGGAGTGTTGAACTATCAAGGGAAGACCCGTGAAATCTTGTTAAACTATGGAATGATACCAGTTAGATCCTGTAGCGACCACTTGTCAACCCTTTAAAGAGTAGAGTAACAGTAACAATAACAACTACAGTACCATTTACCATGGTGGCTCGACGAGCTTGCTCCAGCTTCACAAGAGTTCACAGGTTGCAACAGAGTGAGACCTTTAAATCAAAACTACTGAAGCAAAGAACGTGCAAAATGCCGACCTTCCCTTCGCGTTGTCGAAACCCTCAAGCCTAATTCTGTTTTTTTTTCAAATCTTTAGTTATTCAGCGTATTTTATCAATTTTTGCTCATCCATAATTCTTTATAGGTGAAACTTGTAAACCCGTCGTCGTCACGCCTACAGCATTTGATAACGCAGATGAAATGGCGACTAAGAGAGGGGCAGGGCGAGGCTATTTATGAGGTGAGGCTTTACAGAAACATATACTTGTTTTGTGAACTGGTTTTACGGTAATCAGTAATCTAGTGACTGACTTCTGTTCAGGTTGGCGTTGAAGACGGTGGTAAAATGAGTGGGCTATCAGATGTGGAAATGGAAGCGTCGCTGATTACTTTGAAAGCTATGGCAAACGCTCTGGATGCTAGCATGGTTATCGTAAGTCAATCGCTCGTCTTTCTGGCCCAATTCGGCTTGGTGGAGGCACAAGTGGGCACTTAAAAAGCTGATACAGGCCACCCTAAGAAGATCTGCAAGCTCTTGCTGCTAAGGTGGCTCATTTGTATCATGTCAGAGCATCACAAAAGTGTACAGGTCCTACCAAAGTTGGAAATGACATTAAACATGAACTAGCAGAGGAACTAGCAAAAATGTGAATGTCCCCTCCGAGCCGAAAAGTCACTTTTTATCTTTTATTTCTTTTTGGTGTTGCTCTCATTCAAAAGCATCGTTTTCAGCTCACAGAGAAAGATGTGACCCCGAGAGGCAGCTGTTCGCGTCGCAGAGTGGTTGAAGTACTCGTACGCAAGGTTCCTGAGAGTCAGCAGTTTATCGAACTGAGGTACAATCACGATTTTTAAACGGGAAGTGTTGCACCAATGATGATGAATCGTTTCACCTCTCGCGGGGCAAGTAGGGAGGGGAGGGGGAGTCGAGAATTAGCTTCTGCGAGCAAACCAGGCAGTGCTTTGATTCTGTGTGCGGACTACTCAGGGGACCAGAGAATTCAGTGGCTTACTATGTTCGTAGAGGAAATATTGTTTGGCTCATTTTTTCGGAAGGGAGCTGCTAATTATATACATATTCGTTCGTCATGGGGGATCCTACTTTTCTTCGGTTTTCATGCTCATCCGAAAGGTCAGATAAGCAAAATTTCGTTCTTGAAAAGCCAGCGAGTCCCCGTTTTCCAGAAAGAGAGAAATTTATTGACTTTTTAATCGCTGTATTTTTATACACTGCGGAGCACCGTACTGTGGGCAATTCTGCAACATTCTTTGCTTTACATCGGTAAGCAGTGAAGTTGTACGGTTTTACAATGAACGTAACAAAAGCCCGTTGGCAGGGAGTAACATGGGAAAAAACGAAAAGGAGTCGCTGCATTTCGAAGGCGAAGCTCTGCAGAAAGTGATCAAGAGCCAGTGCCTCTGCCCTTATTGCTGCTTTCCTAACCATTTGGTGTTTGTCAAGCTCACTCTTTACCTTCTTCAGGCTAGCTGTACTTGGCGGCGCCGATGTTGGAAAATCTACTTTCTGCGGTGTGATGACTCAGGGTTGTCTTGACGATGGTAACGGAAAGACACGGCTGAACCTCTTCAGGTAAGTATAAAAGTAATTGTAAAGCAGTAAAGAAGTGCAGGTACCCATCCCTGGCTCCAAGAATAAGGTCAAGATTAGACGGGAATGGTCAGTCGGCAGCGAGACCGAGCTAGGTTCGATTGTTCGTTCGCGTCCTATCATCAGGATAGTGTTTACGTAGTATACCTTAACACCCATCCTTTTTTCATCGAATTTCTCTGGTCCTAAATATGTCACTTTTCTGAAATTCTCCACTCGAACGCAGGAATTATAATAAGATCAAAGGCAAATTAGTCCACATTGTTCTACTACTTGCTTAGAACACTTTTGTTTCAGGTTCCCTCATGAAGTCCGTAGTGGAAAAACGAGTTCTGTTTGCCTAGATATTATTGGGTTCGATTCACGGGGGAAGGTTCGTCAGTTAATAGCGGCAGTGTGGTTACTTAACTGACTATCTAATTCTTCTTACGTTTACAGCTTGTCAATTATGCTCAAAATAGCCTTGAAGAGCTAGTGGAAAGGTCCAAGAAAATAGTCACCTTGATTGATTTGGCTGGAGATGCGAAGTACCTGAAAACTACTATACATGGATTGTCTGGCTACAAGCCACATTTTGCATGCCTGTATGTTTTCTGTTGTTTTTGATGATGTATTTTTAATACAATATTTGTATGTAATATATTATGTCACATCATGACATCACGTTCTGAATTACAGGAATGTTTCCAGGTTAATCTCTGCTGAAACTGGACCAACCGCTACGACGAAAGAACATCTTGGACTTGCGGCGGCTCTGAATATTCCCGTTTTCGTAATAATAACGAAGTGGGACCTTGTGGAGAAAGAACAACTGGACAGGTTTGTTAGAGAGTTTTTATTTTTGCTGAGCTTTTGGAGTTTGCTTGGCAGAGGTGGTTTGTTGGCAAGTGTTGCAGTCTATCACGCGCGCGGGCCGGGCATTGGATCCCTGATCGGCTTCTGCCCAGGTCAACCAAGCCTTCCATACCTTGAGGCGGGTTTCACTCGATTGGAAGCCCAAAAGCCTTGGATGAGCTCTCAAGTGATTGTGTAGGCCAAATCGCCTCTACATATCTGAGTTCGAGTGCTAAGTATAGCGCATCCAAAGTGGGATTGACCAACGCCGATAGTTTTCTTCCTTTTAGTAACAGAAAGCTTTTAGGGTCATCAAATCTGTCTCTTCGCTACTTTCACGTGCTGGTATGGTCTCGTGTACGAAACGAGTGAAGCGGAAAAGAGATGCTGTGAAGTGGGTCCATTTAATAGCCCTTGTCACTCGTTACACTCTTTAATTTGATATTTCTAGGGCTGCTTCAAATCTATGCTCTTTTGGCACGGTACCAATTTTATGCATCTCTTGTGTTACTGGCGCTGGTCTCGGACTTATACGTTGTTTCCTCAATGTGCTGCCACCCACGGGTACGACAGGATCTCGTCTTCAGTTGGTCTCACAACCTCCACTTTTCACCATCGAAGAAATGTTCAACGTTCCTCATGTTAGTTTTCTTCAGCTCCATACCATCGTCAGAAGAGTTCCAACTCGAATTCTATCGAGTAAAGATAATTTTTAGTGCTGAGTAGATATTTTCAGGTTGGAACTGTGGTAGGAGGTATGCTGTCCTCAGGGCGTATTCAAGAAGGCGATGCCGTTCTTGTCGGGCCATATAAGGACGGAAGTTTCGAGAAGGTGAGAACTTTCCCAGAGTCTGCACAGATTTGTTCAAATTCTGCTGACGGGCGCGTCGTACGTTGGGAATCCTGCGCGAGAAGGGTCGTATTTGTCCGTGGAGTGAGGTGGAGGGATTTTCCTTCCTGTTTCGAGTGAACCATCCCCCTCCACCCTTCCTCGGCTCCGCTTGACCGTAGTTTATCAGGGAAAAATGGAGGATTTAAAAAAAGCTGGGAAAGTGTTACGATGATAGGAAAAGCTAGGATGATTGTAGGTAGGATGTAGGATAGGAAGGGGACGGGTCGTGTCAAATGAGGAAATTTTATGGGGTGCTTTCTGCAAAAAAAATTTCCCAACAGCAAGAGGTGTCTGCTGACGTCTTGCTGTTGGGGAAATTGTTCCATTACAGTCGTTCAGCTTTTCTCAACTTTTCATTTTGCAGGCTTTTATTGGTTCGATCAGACGAAGCCGTCAGCCTGTCCAAGCAGTGCTGCCGGGCGAAGCTGTCAGTATTGCTCTTACTCGACGTTCAAAAAGTTCGCAGCCTTTAAGAAGGGTTTGTTTGTCGCTTGTTGCTCTCATACTCTAGAGAATGCCCAAACTTACATTTCGTAGTAACTTTTGGGTATTCTGATGGTGCTGATGCCCAAGACCACGAATTATTATGTAATTAGTTACGTGTCACCGTCAAATGTGGCCGTAATTTTCTAGTAGGAAAATCAGCAGAAACTGTCATCTCTTTCTGAATGAGCTCGTTTTTCACTAGAGCAGACCTTCTCAATAATAGCAGTGATTTTTTTGCAGGGAGAGACGAACAACACAAAATGTTCTGTTTTATTTTAAGGGGATGGTGTTGATGTCTGCAAATGCTAACCCGTCTTGCTGCCGCCGATTTACTGCGTCATTGTTCTTACTATCGCATTCTACACGTCATCTCTGCATTGGTTTTCAAGCTACAGGTATGTTATGATCGAGGTGTAGATTCTGTTTTCTTATGAAGGTGCAATCCACGGCGATCGCAGGATGTATTGAGAGTCACAGTTGAAGTTTGGGGTGCTAGGCGATTGGCTACTGAAGAAAAGAAACAGTTGAGGAACC